GTGAAGAAGAAACCCTTAATGACTCAGACTGAGCAACCCACTGAGAGCACCGTGAAAGTATAACTTCTACAGCAGAGAAGCATCTGAAATTGCAGAACTCCAGTTTTTTTATAAAAGTAAAAGCAGTGCAGTTAACACAAAAAGGGGTTTCAATTTCTTGCCGTGCTTTCCTTTGCGTTCTCCCCTCCTGATGCCTTTCTACAAACCCTCTCACAACACTGCTAATTTCTTCTGCCCGCAGCGGCAGCACGTGCGCAGCTTCTGCCTAGTGTGGTCCTCCAGGTTGATGGGTTTTGCCAGAAATTATCATTTCAGCTGTGTCTGATGGAAGATATTTGTTGTGATAACCTGCCACCATGAAGAAAATAATTTCCAACCCCTTTTGCCTTTACTCACTCCTATTCCAGGTTCCAGACCGTTGCATGCAAATTACCATCTACAGTGATTAGATGTCAGTATTCTGTTAAGTATCCAAACAGCGGTTTTGTGTTTAATGACTACAGGTGACCCAGTCAGAGCACCATAATTCATTTCCTTGTTACTTTTCAAAAATTCAGGAAAGAAATTATACTTGACTGGGGAACATTAAGGCTTTTGAACAAAATACTCCCAAACACATTTTATATGCCTCCAGATTCAAAATACAGAAAATGAGTAATAACTCGCTATTTACTTGACCTCATTCCTAACGGTTCTTTTTTCATATTAATGGGAACTTCATTTTTGTTGCAGATCAGCCAATCTTTAATACCTTTGATTTTTCAAGCTCCCTCACATAGCTCTTTAATAATAATAAAAAAAAAAGTTCAAAAATGTCTTTTTAAGCTCTTTATGTCAAGTGGCTGACTGAGCACAGCATAATGGTAATTTCCTTAAATGTGATACAAAAACACCCCATGGAGAGTCTTAAAATCTAACTGTGTCAAAAGAAAAACTTTCATTTCTGAGGTTGGACAGGATGATCCCCATGGCCCCTCAATAATAAGCCTATTTCACCTCACCCAATAGCACCAACAAAAATGTTAAGCCTTTATACATTTCAAGAACAGGAACCAAACCAGTCTGCGTGGGGTGCCTTAAGTTTTTTGGGAACTTTAAATTCTCTATGTAAGGCTGATTCTTTATTTGGCCATACTGTGATTTCGTGGCTCCTGCCAGCTGTGGTGGGCCAAACACTGCAGTGTATACCAGAACGTTTTCTGAATCACCGTGTAGTTGATAAATTGCCAATATTGACTCAAGCGGCGAACAGATACCGAAGTACAGACGGTTACAGGAAAAACAAGAGCAGAAATTAAGGGCTGCCTTTGCAAGTGAGCTACTCTGTTTTATAAAGAATTAATGCTATAATCAGCAAGACTCCAATCAATAACAAGTTAAGGGAAGTATAACATAATGCATAGAAAAACAATACGGATCCCTTGAAAATAAATTACCACGTCTTAGCTACTTACCGTACGCCTTGACAACCACTAAATAAAAACACTACCTATCTCAGGAAGTACCTGAGCTATCATTAACAGAAGCTAAGAATATTCCAGCTAGAAGTCTCACTAACACTTCTTACCTTTATACCCTCCTCAACTCTACACTGTTGGCCATTTTTGGAGACAGAATACCAGGTCAGCTTTTGACCAGCAAGGTAATTCTTGTACCACGTTACCATTGAACACACCCTTGCCCTGTCCTCCAGGGTCTCTCAGTTCTGTCGTGAATGGCAAGAAAAGGTAAATAGATTTCTTAGGTGAGTTTGCTTTTGATGACCAGCATCTTTCCCCTTCCTGCAAATGTCACCACATTGTGTGCTGTGCAACAGAAAAGGAAGATATGATCTCTGTCCAAAAAAATAAAAGTCTGAAGGAAGGTGGTTTACACTATCCCCTTAGGATAGAAAATACATGCGGTTTTCAGACACTGCAGTTTTTATCATAACATTTAATCATCTGCAGAGCTGTGTACTTTCACACATAAGTCTCAACAATGAGCAGGAACCCTCAAATATGCCTCTAGATAGATAAAATTCACATACATCAACATTTCTCACTGCTTTAACTACCCCTTTCAATAGTCAAGTGGCTGTAAGGGTATCTGGATGTGCTGCTATTTCCTACTGCCTACTTCATTTTCTCCTGTTTTAATTCTGGACAGGGCAATGATTTGTCCTACACAATCTCAGAGCTGAGATTCACAACCTAATGATGGCAGCGTAACAAATTACCAAGAGGCAGCAACTCGTCAAGCGTGGGCTGCCGAACTTCCGTGCAGTACAACTCAGTTTTAAGCATCAGTGAAGGATGTTATGCCAAATCACATTTTCTTACAACTGGGCAAGTGAAGAATGTGCATGCAAACAATTAACAACAGCTACTATGTCTCAGCTAATGGGGACAACTTATTAAGTTGACATAATTCATCATGCAGTTGAGCCCTTACTGAAATGTGGCCCACCTGAACAGGCTTTCTCCTGAGCATTTCTCACTTTGCCTCTTTCTTTTCTGTTGTGAATTAGGCAGGAAAGCTACCGGAGCCCAGTCCCACTTCCACCCCTTAACAATAAACCAAGGTAGTAAGGCCACTTCAAAACCCAGTTCTGGCATTTTATATCTCCTCCTCACACTTCTTTAACAGCTAAAAGAAAGCACGATCAGTCTCATGGACCAGTAACCACAGCTCAAAGAACCAGCTGCAAATTAGAGTCTGCTTTAAAGGTTAGATCCTGTAATGTATTTCTGCCCCCAAATCAGGATGACTAAAACCAATGTTCTTATATATTAAACAATTTCCCATAAATGTTTGCATGTTGTTTTTTTTTAAACATGGTATATAAGTATCCTGTAGAAATTTCAGCAGCTCGCTTAATTGGGTTTTTTTTAAAACACGGGATATAAGTATCCCACATGTCCTGTAGAAATTTCAGCAGCTCGCTTAATTCTTTAGAACAACATTCTCAATTTAACTTAACACTAGGAGTTACAGACCCTCAGCAGTGCTTCACACTGCAAAGAGATAATCTGCTTCTAGGGCTGAGTATCTGTAAAATGTCTGCATGTAGTATCCTTGCTGATACCAGTTACTTAAGGTCAAAGTCATAGATTAATTTAATCAAGCATAACTCATATCCTTTCCAAATCCTTTAGAATTTAGGTTGTATCAAAGATTACCTTGCTTGCTCTCAAATTCAGTCTTAAATAGATATACCTGACTATCATACAATTTATACAAAACTTCTGAATTTTGCCCTGAATTTTTGTTTCAAAGATTCCCTTGCTTGCTCTCAAATTCAGTCTTAAATAGATATACCTGACTATCATACAATTTATACAAAACTTCTGAATTTTGCCCTGAATTTTTGTTTCAAAGATTCCCTTGCTTGCTCTCAAATTCAGTCTTAAATAGATATACCTGACTATCATACAATTTATACAAAACTTCTGAATTTTGCCCTGAATTTTTGTTTCAAAGATTCCCTTGCTTGCTCTCAAATTCAGTCTTAAATAGATATACCTGCCTATCATGCAATTTATACAAAACTTCCAAATTTTGCCCAGGAGGCTAAGGTAGATCATTGGAAATATTCAGTACAGTTGAAAAACTGAAATTGTTGCATGCTAGGCTTCTTCATACTTAACTCCTCTTTAAGGAGACACGTTGTCCTTTCACCATAGATATTTTGCTATAGATCTCACCCCAGTCTCGAGTACCCTATTTCTGTTCTCCAAAGATGACCATGAATTCCATGTGCATTATCACATGGTAACTCTTTGAAAAGAGAGGAAGAACTCGAATGGTCAGGTTCACTTTGGTCAGGGATGTGGGACAGCCAAGCCAGAAATGTTCTTAACTTGCTGTACAAGGTACATAGTACGGTGCAGAAGCAAATTCAGTATTTCTGTATTTTGATTGCTAAGGAGGTGGAAAAGAGTTACACTGCATTGCATCAGATGCCCTGAGTAATATATGAATATAATGAGGAACACTTAATTTGAAATCACTGAAGCTTGCTACAAATACACATTTTTATCCTTTTATCAGTCTAGATGATGATCAGGAATTGACCCTTTTTAGCACTGAATCCACCTGAATCTGGTGGAAGCCAGATGCACCATGAAGTTTTCCAATTAAAAGTCAGTGTGAATCTTCCTGGAGTGAGATTATGTGCCTGAGTTCTTCTTCGCCTTAATACTATATTAAAGTTAATGCAGTTCATTACTAATGATATAGTCCAAATAACAGCACTTATTCACAACTGTATTTAAAAAAGAAAAGTAAATAAGTCAACATCCACAAAATTTATTTTACTGCGGAAACTCTGGTTTTCTACTCCATAAAACGTTTCAGTTCCTCTCAATACATTAAAAGATTTTGGTAACGTTTTTGAGCTTTCCTAAAGGACATATTGGGCATAAAAACTTGATAAGAACAACTTAAGCAGTTCGATTATCTTTGTGCAGTGACTGAATTATATCATAGCAGGATCTGAAAAACACTTACGCTCCACAAAGTAAGAGCTGGCATCAATCTTCCAGATAATCTGACCACGGTGAGAGCCGTTGACGCCACGATTCTTGTAGTCCAAAAAGTTTTCGGACAAGACCTCATCTATAAACAAAGAAAACAGTCTCATCAAGCACCTGTTGTGAGAACATGCACAGCAGAGAGTCAGGCTAAAAATATGCCTTTGGGTTGACAGAACATACTAGAGCTGCTAGACAGCTTAGCACCACATGTTGAGGAATTAGATTTTTCACTCATTTGTATTTTTATGAAGTGCAGCTCTAAAAAAAACCAACCACCACAGCTCTCCCTGAAATGTAATTTTAAAAAATACATCCCTACAAAATTCTCAAAAATCTAAATATCTAGCTTAGCATGGATGAACCCCTACCCGATTAAACGTAATTATCTAGCTGTAACAGAGAATTGTAGCAAAAAATAATCTCTTCTTTGCACCAACTCTTCCCTTAAAAAGATCCCACAGGAAATAGTTACGTGTAGGCATCGGAACTACACTCACTCGTGTCATAGCAGATGTGGTTATTTCTTGCAGTGTATAGCAAAGGGTATTTATTTTTGAAGAATCCCACTCACCGTGTGCCTTCACAGCTCTCTGCCTCCAAACCCAAATTGACTGACAGCAAAATGCTGTCCCCTCACAGTGTTTCGAGACACCTAGCAGCTGCCAGACTACCAAGCTGATCTTCAAAGTCAAGGAGTCAATCTATAAAAATGAATAATCTCTAAAAAGTTTCTGAAAACCAAGGCTGAGGAAGCAGCCTCCTTGCACACAAGGGGCTGCCTGTAAATAAAAGGCGGGCGGGCGTGAGCCTGAGAAGAGGCCTTCTGGTTGCCCACAAGAATAAATTTTCAGGATGTTTCCAAGTTTCAAAAAGCACTTTTCCAGACCAATCTGCAAGCCTTATGTAGGTGTAAGCAAACACATCCCAGCCTCCGGCCAAGGGCCTGGTTCTCAACCCCTTTTTATCCAACAGCTTAAAAACCAGCTATGAGACCCTGCTGCGGCCTCAGGGCCTCGCTCCCCCACTGACGAGCTTACCTCAGGCTTTCAAGGAAACAAAAATGCTACCATTCTGGGCCAGCACTTATGGTTTTGGTCGTCAATAAACAGAAACAGTGCAGCAAAAATACAATAGACGTATGGAGATGTTTACAGGCTGTCAGAGGGGAGCGGGGCTCACCAGCCTGTAAGAGCACAAAATGGCGGCAGACTCAAGCGGCTGAAGTAGCAGCCCAGGATGGGCCTGGCCGTGGCCTCATTGCTCCAGCTTCAGGGGGATGAAACGAATTTGGGATCTGTGCCCTGCCCAAAATACTTCACTAAGAGATCTCTTCCTGTAGAGACCAGCCAGCAACCTCCTGGATTTTTTAATTTTAACACAGATTTGTAGAAATGCACTTGAACCAACTCAGCCCTTGCTACAGAAACAATCCAGGGTGGGTGCTGCGACTTGCTTCCAAAGACAGTTACATTCATTATTAGTCATGCTGAAAGCTGAGGAAAAAATGTAAACTATTCAATCCGAGATTAAGATATATCAACTGTAAACACTGTGAAGAACTCGCTTCATTATCACATAGGTCAAGGAGAAAGCGAAGATGGCGCCACGCCACAAGGGACAGACTGACGGTGTGTCCAACTGTAGAAGAGGCAGCCCAAAGGGCAAAGCCAAGGCACCCAAAGACTAACATATTATTAAAACACATACATACAAACGTTAAACAAAGTGGACTTTTAAATCAAAGGAAACTACACTGTCACTGTAAGAATCAAGCAGTGCTGTCCCGTTGGTGTTCCATAGTTGTGGTCTCAAAGGAGGAAGGTAAGCGGGCTACCAACACCGAACTCCCTGGTGCCACTCTCTTGAGGGATTTACAACAGAAATCATTTCAAAGAGGTCATTAATGATTGCAATGGATAATTATAAACGGCAACGCTACCTACAATACACGCTCCCTTTGCTGACTTGCTAACTGTCGGTAATTATTTTACTAGCTGTGTTTCATGCTCCGTATTAAGGTGGAAATCTTTCAGCCCGTTCACACAGTGCATCTCTGCGGTAACCCTTCAACAGTAAAATCATGTGGCATGATTTCTGTTCTTCCTCTGTACTTTAAAGCTGGTTTTGTCTTCTTTTAAATTTTAAAAGGGCAGATAAGTAGACACAAAGCTCTCGGAGCTTTGGCTTACTAATGACTCCCTTCAGTAAAGGACCATCCTGGATACAGATCATCCAGAATTACCCAGATCATTCTGTGGAACTAAGAACACTTATACACAGATGAGGAGATTTAAACCCATGAACTGTCCCTTTTCTTTTGGCAGGGAAAACGTTTTATGCTGTAAGGTGAGCATATAGGGAAACACTGAATTTAGCTGGAGTCTGGGAACCCTGACTGGCCCCTCATCCTGACAGGACAGGGAGAGCATCCCTCAGCCCAGGCATGCTGCTCTCTGGCTTCATCATTCATGACGTTTTATTTCTTTATTATTATAGTTAGTCTCTATAAGCTGCTGGAGGTGCTCCAATACCTGCCATGTGATTAAGATATACGGGTAATGACTGATTCTCAAGATATATTGTTAATAAAATACCATGCTTGCTTAAGGAGACTTAGCTGAGCTAGACTGGATGGCCTTGCTTAAGAAATCGCAGATATTTTAGGCCGGAGTTTAGCGGCACAGGAGATCCCAGAATCAGATTTAAAATGCTGTGTTCACACGCAGTGAACTGCAGAACTGCAGGACTGCAGAAAGCCCTTTCCACCTTTAGTCAGAAATGAGCAGGAAGCCTGGAAAACCAGGCTAAGAAAAAGGACTACTCCACCCGTACATCCCAAGTAGAAGCAGAATAAAGTGAAGGGAGAGGAAGCCCATCTGTGGCTACAGCTGACAAGCAAGACCACGGGAAAGCTGAAAGCAGTTGGTCCAGCCAAGTAGCATCATCTGCATGTTGTCTCCTGTCACAGAGGCGAGAGACAGGAGTGTTTGGGAAGGACACAGCGTCCGGAGCAAAGGGTCAGGTCACAAAGCACGTCAGGGGAGAGATGCACACATGGAGCTAGTCAGGTGCACACAGTTTATGGACAGCAGCCATTGATGAAATACAGGCTCGGGCAGCAGAAAAGATATTTTAGTATGAGTTTGCAGAGCTCTGCAATATGCAGGTCACCCCAAGTAGGAGCAGTAGAGCCGTTAAGTATAAAAACATTTTTGTAAATAAAACGTATTGACAAATGTCCTGATTTAGAAATCCAGTATGTAGATACTACTCACAGCCAGATGTAAGCCCTGCCTGTCTCTCTTGGAAAGCTGGGTACTTCCCTCTTTCCAAAGAAATAAAACATATCTTCAGTCCAGTAGAAATTCATGTTAGTTGGGATGTTTAAACCAGACAAATTTTAGCTCTAGAAAAATAAATGCAGGTCCAAAAGGGAAATCTTTCTTTTTCATTTTTTGAAAGTATGTATTTTTGGAAGGCGAAAGATAAGAAATATCCCCTGGCAAGTTAAAAATAGCTGTAGTTGAAACTAGTCAGGAGGTTAGAATGTATGAATACAGCCTATCGACCTGTTTTAGCTGGCAGGTGATACTATTCCAGGCAAGCTATTCCTGGAACATGGACATTATGTATGTAGCACACTGACAAAGAAAATTGTCCATGTGAAATACACAGCTGTTTAGTGCACTACATATATGTGCATATGCATGCACGTATATTTATCAACACTTGTGCCATACATAAGTGAATACATGATATGGTATGTTAAAGACTAAGGGTTTCTGCGAAGGAAAATAAATTTTATTTCATATTTCTCCAGAGAATTTCTATAACAAAGGAACTGACCTTAAAAACATGTTGCATCTTAAGTCCCGAAGGTAAATGGTGAAATGCTTCAATTCACCTCCACACAAAATGAAGAGCAGAGTTAATGCTGCTCCCTTTCATATATTTCAGCCAGGAGCTAATGGCTTTTGACATTTTCCCAATGAAGCATTGTAATGCATCTCCCCTCCTCTATTTTTGAAATGCGATTAACCTTTAAACTAGCTCTCTGCTTAGCGGGCAATCCACTGCACAGCCTGGGTTTAGCCCCACTTGGCCAAAAAGGAAACCCTTTGCAGTTGCCCTCAGATCTGCAGCTTCATTTCCCTGGATGGTAACTAATTAAGGAAAATGCCAAGTGAGAGTATTCACAGAATCACAGAATGATCTGGGGTTGGCAGGGACCTCTGGAGATCATCTAGTCCACCCCCCTGCCAAAGCAGGTTGCACAGGAACGTGTCCAGGAGGGTTTGAAATGTCTCCAGAGAAGGAGACTCCACCACCTCTCTGGGCAGCCTCTTCCAGGGCGCTGCCACCCTCACAGCAAAGAAGTTCCTCCTCACGTTTAGGTGGAACTTCTTATGTTCAAGTTTGTGCCCGTTCTCCTCTTGTCCTGTCCCTGGGCACCACTGAAAAAAGACTGGCCCCTTCCTCCTGACACCCACCCTTTGAGTATTTATAGGCATTGATCAGATCCCCCCTCAGCCTTCTCTTCTCCAGACTAAAAAGACCCAAGTCACTCAGCCTTTCCTCATCAGAGAGATGCTCCAGGCTCCTAATGTAGCCTTTGTAGCCCTCTGCTGTCCCCTCTCCAGCAGTTCCCTGTCCTTCTGGAACTGGGGATATTCAGGATATGTTGTCCTTTGAACATCAGCCGGTCCTGGAGCTGGAGTCAGGGATGCTGAGGGCAGCTGAGACGGGGAGCCAGCAGACACTGAGCTCTACCTCCCCTGCTCTGGGGCACAGAGAGGTGCCAGCCACCTCTTGCTGGTGAGAGAAGGCGGCCACAGACCAGAGCAGCAGCATCAGACCTCCCGCATCTCACACGGTCCCTGGAGGAAAGGGAGAAGGTGATGCACGAGCGGGCGCCAGGCAGCCGGGGGCTGAGCTGCATCAGCGGGACCGGGGCACACTAGTGAGTGCCTGGGGAACCAGCAGCAATTACTGACGGTCTGCTTGTCCTCACCAAACCAGATACCTCCAAGCACAGCCTTTTACTGCTAAAAATATTCTGCGCTGTCACTTCCATGCTGAGAG